AAAAAAAAAAAAAGACAGTGACCTTTGCTTTCTTTGTCTGAGTGCAGGCTCTCGTGGTTGCTGGGATCTCTCTCCAAGTTGCAAACCTGTATGGCTACATCCTTTGTAAGATGGGAGGCAACAGTGACATTAGCAAGGTCACAGCCAGTTTCCTGTCCCAGACAGTGTTCCAGACGGTGAGTAACTGAGGTCTTACTCCTGGACCACTCCTCTCCAGGTAGTCAAAATCAAGGTGGCCTGCTGGCAACTGCGGTTTATAATGTAACATATCAGCCAGGCTGCCATTGTTTTATTGTTTATTTATTTTTTGGGAGGAAGGATCTTGCTCTGTCACCCAGGCTAGAGTGCAGTGGTGTGATCATGGCCCACTGCAAATTCCATCTCCCGGGCTCAAGCAATCCTCCCACCTCAGCCTCTCGAGTAACTGGGACTACAGGTGTGTACCACCATGCCCGGCTAAGTTTTTAATTTTTAAAAAATTATTAATTATTTTTGTAGAGGCAAAGTTTTGCCGTGTTGCCCAGGCTGGTCTTGAACTCCTGAGCTCAAGCAACCCGCCTGCCTTGGCCTCCCAAAGTGCTGGGATTACAGCTGTGAGCCACTGTGCTGGCAGTTTTGCTTTTTAATTGTAAGATTTACATAAAATGTAGCCTTTTAACCATTTTAAAGTGTATTGTTCTGTGGCATTAAGTATAACCACCTTGTTGTGCAACCTTCACCCCACCCAGCTCCAGAACTGCTTTCATCTTGCAAAATTTAAGCTCAGTACCTGTAAAACATTAACTCCCCCTTCTCCTTGCCTCCTGGCCCTAGCAACCAGCATTCTGCTCTCTAAGTCTGTTGGTTTGACAGCCCTAGGGACCTCCTGTTAAGTGCAATTATAGTTTTTGTCCTTTTGTGACTGCCATTGTTTTCAGTGATTTTTAAAACTATAGAATTAAGAGTCACAAATGGTTTTTCCATTTTTATTATTATTATTATTGTTCTTTTTTGAGATGGGAGTTTCCCTCTGCTCCCAGGCCGGAGTGCAGTGGCATGATCTTGGCTCACTGCAACCTCCGCCTCCCGGGTCAAGTGATTCTCCTGCCTCAGCCTCCCGAGTAGCTGGGATTACAGGTGCACACCACCATGCCTGGCTAATTTTTGTATTTATAGAAGAGACAGGGTCTTGCCATGTTGACCAGGCTGGTCTCAAATTCCTGGCCTCAAGTGATCTGCCTGCCTTGACCTCCCAAAGTGCTGGGATTACAGGCATGAACTACCATGCCCGGCTTGTTTTTTTTTTTGTTTTGTTTTGTTTTGTTTTGTTTTTTTTTAAACTTAACAGATATTTCTAAAAGTGAGAGATAGGAGGTCTTTGAAATTTGACCAGGTTCATCCTGAAATGGTTTGAACCATCTTAAATTTGAACAGTGCTGCTTTATGCCAAGACATCAAGCAACCAATTCCGCAGGTTTTCTGTACTTTGTGGGTTTTCTCTGGCCTTGCATCAGCAGGACTGCCCCAGTCGCGTGTAAGGACAGAAAACCATGGTTGACTTTTCCCCTTGCAGGCCTGCCCAGGTGACTTTCAGAAGCCGGGCCTTGAGGGGCTGGAGATTCACCAGCATTAGGTGAGAAATGGATCGTGGCACCCGTGTGGAGGGGCTGGGAAATTCTGAAAAATGCAGCTCTTGAGGCACAGGGCCCAGGGTTTGGGTGGGCTTCCCCTGTTCCCTGGGGTGGCCTGGTACGTGATCAGGCAAGAAGCAGACTGGGCAATGGGCCTGCCCTGGGCTTTGCAGCCTCATAGCTCTTGGAGTGAGGAGCTGGGGGGGTGGTGGTGGGGTGTGAGGTCACACCTTCCTCACACTGAACATGTGCAAATCTGACCATATGTGTGGTCCTAGGGAAGGGTGGGGAGGGAAAGAACAAGGGGATTTGTTCTTGTTTCCCACCCACCCACTTTTATGTCCCAGAGTGGAGAGAAAACAGGAATTTACTCTTCTTCCAGCTGGTCTCAGATCCTGTGTGTCTCAAAGAGAGCAAGCACCTCATGGCAGTGAGGATGACTGTAGAGTTTACATCTGTCTCTCTTTTTTCTATAATTTAAAAGCCTGAATATTGGTTTGCATGACACTGGACATTACTGGATATACTGTGCACATATTACTACACAGGGTGTATACACAGACCCCAAATTCTGTCTTAGTGGGTGATTCAAGGACTCTTCAAGGGCTTTTTGATTTGACCCAGCTGCGCCACATGCAGTGATTTTAGAACAAACCCCAGCGTGAGCTCTGTCGCTTTTAGATTTTTCCTCAGTCTGAAGAAGAGCGTTTGGACTGTGCTGTTTGAAAACATGCCTGTGTGTTCTGCAGTGAAGCCGCACACTCACCCCTTTGGTTCTTTTCTAGGCTTTCTTATCTTCAGAGGCAGACATGGCTTAAATGGGAGTTTCTACAATCGACTAAGCTTCCGACACAGCAGAATCCCATGGTTCCACAACCCATTTGTTTTTTACGTGAAACAGGCCTCGGGGGAGAGGTTTGAGGAGGGGGTTTTATTCTTAAAACGGCATATTTGTAGAGAATGCCCTTTATATATGTTCTAAGGAAAAGTGTACAAATACTCGATGATTAAAGTGTCTCTGCGAAAGTGGCTTTGGACTACGCCAGCATCTGGTTCCTTTTTGCTGTGACCCACCCCGTTCCGGAGCTGGTCGGGTCTGGCTGGACGTCCTGCCCAGGGAGTACCTCACTTGGTAACTGCTTGGTTCTGAACATTCTCTCATTTCAGGAATTGATGAGGTTCTCTTCTTCTGACTGACGGAGATCACAAAACTCTTGGATTCCTGGAAAACAAGACGACAGGCATAGAGTGCTAAGAATTGTCCACCCCTGGACAGCCCCGTCCTGTGCTGGGGAGGGCCGTGTCTTGACAGGGCTGGAATCCTCTGGCAAGTTCCATAAAAAGCCCTGTCTGTGATGCCCTGAGTCTTTGAAAGTGACCGGAATACCTCACACTGCCCATCAGAGTCATAACCAATGGCTGAGGCCTTCCTCGGCCCATCTGTAGATGGAGGATTCTGGGAATGCTGTTTCCTTACCCTCAACATCATTTTTCTAGGCAAGTAAAACCCAGCCACAAACTTGGAGACTGCAGCTTTAAAAAACACGGACACCTCTGCCTTCACTCTGGGGCCGCTGATGGCTGCCAGTGGCTGCACATGGGTTTGGTCTGGCTAACCAAAGTTTTTATTTCTATTTTTTTAAGACACGGTCTCACTCTGTTGCCCAGGCTGGAGTGCAGTGGCACGATCTCGGCCCACTGCAACCTCTGCCTCCCAGGTTCAAGCTATTCTCCTGCCTCAGCCTCCTGAGTAGCTGGGACTACAGGCGAGCGCCACCACACCTGCTAATTTTCATATTTTTAGCAGAGACAGTGTTTCTCCATGTTAGCCAGGCTGGTCTCGAACTCCTGACCAGCCTCAAGTGATCTGCCTGCCTTCTCCACCCAAAGTGCTGGGATTCCCAGTGGGAGCCACCGCACCTGGCCTGTTGTTTTGTTTTTATCAGTTACTTTTTTAAATGAATTACTTTATCGCTTTATTGGGATGTATTTCCTAAGCCATAAATTTCACCCTCACCGTGTTTTTTAAACTACGAATTAATTAACTATACTCACACATTGAGAGATTTCTCATGGACTCCTGGCTTCCTGGGCTATGGAGCCCACTCTGTGGTCATTGCAGACCCCACCACCCACCCGTCCTTCCACACCCCCCATACCCTTGGTTCCTTTATGTTGCTTCCTGCCCCACAGGCATCTGCATTTAGTACTCATGGAAATACTTACTCTGAATTATACTTCTGTAGGCTAATGTGGCTGGGGAATCTGGGGCGTCAATGAAGAAGGACTGGCCTTTGTCACAATTCTTACCTTAAAAGAAACAAATGGAAGACAATTCAGTCCAAGAGGAAAACAGAGTGGCCACAAGATCTTGGGGCTCCTTCTGTGCTGGTGACAATGGGAATATTTTGAGTCCCCTTCACTTGTAATGAAGAACAATGTAGAAAAGGCCACTGGGGTCTCTGGGACCTTCCTTCCAGCAGGGTCCCCAGCCAGCATTTCAGCGTGGCTAAATAATCAGGTGGTGTACAGAAAATGCAGGTTCCAGGGCCCTACAGAGAACTGATTCAGCAGCTTCCAGATGGGCCCAGGAGTGTGCATTTTAAGAGATTAGCTTTTGAGCAAAAGGATCATGAATGCACATGATTAAAAAAAGTACAGAATACAAAAGGATATGGCATGAAAGGCCAAGTCCAAAGAGGGCTACTAGTGTTCTAGGTGTCTTTCCAGAAAGATTATGCACATATAAATGTGCACATTCACAAGTGTGCACACACACATACACACACTCATATACCTAAAATACAAGTGGGAGCACATGACACACACATTCTGCCCACTGCTTTGTCTGTGTATAATTTTATCTTCCAGGTTATCTGTGCTGGTGTCCATCCGTCTGCTAGTCTTTCCCTGCCATGTGGCCATTGTTCCAGTCCCCTCCTATGCACACCCAGGTTTCTCTAGGACCATGTTATCCCAGAGCCAGGAGGACAGGACACAGGGGCCTTGGAGTCACTGGGGGTGTTCTCGCCCTCAGTCTGCCCTACCAGCCCCCAGTTGTGGGTGGACCTGCCATCAGCTTGCTCTCCCCACTCTCCAGGCCCTGAGCTGCCGGAGAAACAGGGCCAAGTGACTGCACTGCCCATGTCCGGTCACCAGCTTCAGGTGAACCCCAGGAGGAGTTCCTACCTTGCACCTACCATTTCCTCAACTTCACTACTGTGCTGCCGTGTGGGACAGGGAAGTCCAAGTCGGGGAAGAAGCCTGTGGGGAGAGGGTGGTGGGAGATGGGGAGCCCAGATGGCCCAGTGAGGCAGGAAAATAGGGTCTGGAGGCAGGGAACATAAGGCCAATTCGCACTTGAGCCGTAACAGGAAATGTCCTCTCCATAGGACGTACGCCATAAGTGACTCTGTAACTTTACTTCACCCTCTTCGTTTATATAGGACGTACCCCAAGTAGAGGATATTTAAACACAAAAACTCTGTAATGGGGCCTTTGAGCCCCTATTCTCAGGCCCATTCCCTTCCCACACTGTGGAGTTTACTTTCATTTTCAATAAATCCTTTCATGCCTTCCTCGCTTTGTGCGTTTTGTCCAGTATTTTGTTCCAGGCGCCAAGAACCTGGACACCCTCTGGAACTTACTAGGGAGGCCCCTGAGTGCACGTTCGCTGGGCCAGACTTGGGAGGCTGGGGATCCCAGAATAGTCATGCTGGGGGTACTTTCTGTCCCTGATTTTCACCCAGGTCTCCCTTCCCCAGAGGGCTCCCCAGCCCCCAACACACAAATATGCTCTAGTGTTTTCCCATCCTAACTGCATTTCCCCCTGGGCTCCCACCTCTCCGAGAACGGGCATCATCATCAGAACAGCTGGTGTGAGCACAGCCCTGTTCCAAGAGATCCCAGGTATCCTCTCTCTACCCTGGCAGATCCCTCACTAGGCACCACTGTCACCTGCATTTTACACACGGGGCCATCGAGGCTGAGAGGGGAAATGACTAGCCGAAGTCCCACAGCTAGTGGTGGCGAAGCAGGGATCTGAGGCCAGCCCTTCCTGTGATCCTCAGCACACGGGGGCCAGGACCCACAGCACCAGAGCGCTGGCATCTGCAACTTTGCCACCATGTCCCCAGAGGGGACTGAAGTGCTGTCCTCGTGTCCTCCTGTCTGCTCCTAGGAAGGTGGCTTTGCCCCCACTCTGTCCCCAGTGACCTTGCCAGATGCGTGTCTGTCGCTTGGCCCTCACGCTCCACCCTCTTGGGTGTGTGACAGTGTTAACCACCCCTTCCTTTCTGGCACTCCCTGGCCTTACTATCTGTGGTTTCCCCTCGAGGTGAGGTTCTGCAATGTGCCATCTGACACACAGGACCAGGCCCACTGGAAGGCACTTAATGCTCTCAGTTCAGAACGAGCCCCGCAGCTGTCACTGTCCTCTGCTTTGAAATTAGCTCTTGTGAACCACCTGGAACTTTGCTTCTTTGTGAAAAGTGGCCCTGAAAGGAAAGACCAGGGCCGATGCCAGGGCTCAGTGTGAGGGAGGTGGGAAGATGGAGGTTGGTGGCTCTTTGGAAGAAAAGCCACATCAGGATCCAATAGAGGGCCCCAAGGTCACTTCCTGATCTGTCAGACAATGGCAATGGCAGGCCTGTGGCTGGGCCCATGGACATATTTGGGTGGGTCAGCAAGCAAGCATGCCATTGTTTTTTTTGGAGACACGGTCTTGCTCTGTTACCCAGGCCGGAGTGCAGTGGTGTGATCAGGGCTCACTG